AGAAGGCCGAGGGTGAGAAAGGGGCAGGTACTGGGGTCAGCAGCGTAGAGCCTGGCTGGGATTCAAACTCAGCTCCTTGGACTCCAAATCAAAGGCTCTTTCCACTACCCCATAATAATATTAATAATAATAATCATGATAGCTAACATGAGCATAGCACCTACTCTGTGCCAGGCACTATGCTAAGCACCTTAATAACAACTAACTTTTATATAGGGCCTTAATAACAATAATATTAATAATAGCCAACATTGATGCTTAGGGCCTACTATGTGCTAGGCACTATGACAATAACAATAATAGCTAACATTTATACAGGGCCTACTATGTGTCAGGCACTATGACAATAACAATGACAGCTAACATTTATACAGGGCCTACTATGTGTCAGGCACTATGACAATAACAATGATAGCCAACATTTATACAGGGCCTACTATGTGTCAGGCACTATGACAATAACAATGATAGCTAACATTTATACAGGGCCTACTATGTGTCAGGCATTATGACAATAACAATAATAGCTAACATTTATACAGGGCCTACTATGTGCTGGGCACTATGACAACAATAATAATAGCTAACATTTACATAGGGCCTACTATGTGCTGGGCACTATGACAATAACAATAATAATAGTTAACATGCATGTAGTGCCTACTCCACTGTGCTAAGCCCCTTAATAACAACAATATTAATAACAGCTAACATGTACATACTGCCTACTATGGGCCTGGCTTAAGGTGTGTGACTGCACTGGCAGGAAGCATTTACTCAGCGTTCATCATGTACGTTGGGCACCAGACAGTAAAGACAAAATAGAAAGCCGCGCCTGCCCTGAGGAAGCTTCCAGTCCTCCGGGGCTATGAGGATCAAAAACCCCAAAGCCGGACCCCGGATTTCAACAACGTAGGAAGCTCCTGGGGAGGACGGCTGCTACCGTCTTCTGCAGAGCTATCTGGGTCCTGCCCTGAGAGGTCGAGATGCCTCCAAGCTGACCCAGGCGGTACATGTCAAAGGCGTGACTTGAACCCACATCTCTGAGGCCAGCTCCATCTCCACAGTGCCCCGCTGCCTCTCCTATTCACTTCTGTGTCGGTACAATGGCTGAAGAAGGGCAAACACACGAACCATTAGGGGCGTCAGCCAGGGCTTCCTGTAGGAGGTGGCATGAGCTGGGCCTTACGGGAAGCTGGGAATGGAGGCACTCCGGGAGGCTGGGTGTGTGATAGTGACTCTGTGATTCCGCAAGCCTGAGGTGGGAGGTACATTCCAGGCATGGGGGATGTCCCGGGCAAAGCCCCGGAGGCGAGAGGTGGAACGAGGGAACCCCAAGTGGGATTGGAGCACGTGAAGAGGGGTGAGGGCTGACAGGGCCGAGTCTGGAGCCAGTCCTGGGGGAAGGTCTTTATGTGCCCTTCCTGAGTGCACAGGGAGCCAGGACGCGTGGTTTTGGCAGCTGGGCCCAGAACGGCCCAGAGAGAGGAGACGCTGGGGGATGCAGCCGCAAGAGAAGACAATAACAGGGCTGACGCAGGCTTTAGGTTAGTTGAGTGAGTGGGGGGGAGGGAGGAGGATGTGAGACACGGACACAGATGGGGGGGCAGCGCGGGAGACGCAGGGGTCAAGGGTGACGCCGAGGCTGCTTGTTATTCTCAATGGAAGCAGGAACGTTAGAAGGAGAGGTGGCTTTGGCAGAGAAGGTAAGTTTTAAATGCTTATTGGGCATCTGCTAAAGATAATGATAATAACAACACGTCGCAACATTTATATAGACCGGGCAGGTAGGTGTTATTGTTATCCCCATTTTACAGAGGAGGAAACTGAGGTGAACAGAGGTGAGTTGACTTGGCCAGGGTCACCCAGCCAGCACAGGTGGGATGAAGGATCTGACTCCAAGTCCAGAGCTCTACTCCCTGTGCCACAATGCCGCATGAGAAATCAGTATCACAGAAATCGAGGGAGGAGAGACTGCCAGCCTGGACGGCTGCAGAGCTGAGGAGGGGACGCCAGATAACTGGCGGGGGCGCTATCGGTCAGGGAGCGGGGGTCAGAGGCCAGGGAGGACTGACCTCCTGGGAGAGAGCCTCGCGAGGGCTTCCAGGTAGGGGTACCAGCGCAAGCAAAGGCCAGGAGGGAAGAACACGCAAGGCACATGCAGAGGAGGTGAGACTAGTCTGCCAGGAGTAGAGACGGGGGAAGTGAGGTCATATCACAGACACAGCCGGGACCCGGAGTCAGGAGACCTGTGTTCGAATCTCAGTGCTGCTGGCTAAAGACGGTGTGACATTAACCTCTTCTGGCCTCAATCTCCTCATCCCTAAGATGGGGACAGTTCTACTCTACTTTCGCCACAGGCCATTTGTGAAGAAGGTGCTTTGCACCCCGCCCCAGCTTCAGCAATGCCAGTGCCCCCATCACTATCATGATGGTTGCTATTATTAACCTCATCACCTGCGCCATTAGAGTAGAGGCGCCATCCAGCCCGGAGCCTCCTCATTGCCAGAGGCGAAAGCTATCATCCAAAGAGCACGAGGTCAGTCAGAGGGACTGGACTCCAGTATCCCTCAGCCACAGCCCAGCCCCCTCAGGCCTCAGGGCTTCTCCCCCTCTGAATTGTAGGTTCCCATGTTCTTTACTCACACCCGCTGTTCTAGCTGGATTACGTGAGATAACATGTGCACACTGCTTATGAGGCCCGGTGCCTGGCACACAGTAGGTGCTTAATAAATGCTCGTTCCCTTTCTTTGCCTCTCTTGAGCCCCTCTTCTCTCCTTTGAACCTCTGTTTCCTCTCTCCTTTCCCACCCTCATCTCTCCTCCGCCATCTTTCTTCATTTGTCTGACTTTGGCTCAAGCTTTACCTGGTGGAGAAAGGCCTCTCTGCCCACCAGGGCTCCAACCAAGGGCCATGGCAAGCCGTGGAAGACTGTCTCCTCCAACGACCAGCTGCTTAACCCTTCCCCGAGCCTGTTTCCCTCATAGAACGGGGAGAGTTGGCCTTGCCTACGCCACAGAAATGGAAACGTCGTGGCGGCAGGCCCTGGGATCTTGGCCACATGAGGGCTGTACCCCGTGAGCCACCCCCGTGCTCCCCCAACCTTGGCAACGGCTCCTCCTCTCCCCTCCTTTCTCATCACCTGCAGAGCCTCTTTGGCCGAGGCTCACCTGTCCCTGCCCTCGGGATGGATGGAAGGATGGATGGGGCAAGGCAGAAGCCATGAGCGCTCGCCCTAGGCTGCCTCCTGCCCCCAAGGACCCAGGGCTCCTCCACCTCAGCGCCTGTGAGGAAGGCTCAGGGAAGCCTTTGTCTGAGAAGGGAGCTGACCAACAGTCTGGGAATCTCTCTTCCATTCTATGGGCCCCCCAAGCCCCCAGTGGCCCTTCCTGAAGGAAGAAGCAGCTGGGGGCAGGGGCTGGAGGGCTCTTGTCGGTGGAAGGAAGGAGCCCCAGGAGCCCCAGTCTGGGGACAGGGGTGCAGAAGAGGGGGGCTTCTGAGACAATGAGGAAGGAATGTAAACAGAAGGGCTTGGCCTCACTTCTCTTCTGCCAGGGGCCGCTGGGGATGACGTCACACGCATGCTGTAACGGCTGTTCAAGGCAAGGGCAGAGGGAGCCTTTCTGCTCAAACCATTTTCCCTTTGTGCGTTTCTTATGGAATCCCTAAGTACTGTTGGGAACCTCCCTTTTCACCGGAGGCCTCCAGAACAAGACCACTCTCCCTGAAGGACGTGAAGAGGGTCCTTTTTCCAGTTGTGGGACAGCCTCTGAGTTCCATTCTGGCTTCTCTCCGACTTGAGTTGGATCTGAGGGAGCTTCCAGACACAACTCCAAAGGCAGGATGGAAATCCTTCTGCCACAGGGCTAGGAGACCCTCAGAGCACCCCCAGGACTCAAGAGCTGGCAGGGGACTCGGGCAAACGCAACCCCTTCCTTTTAGAGGGGAGGGGCCTGAGTCTGAGACATCAGGAGTGACTGGCTCGAGGTCAAGGCAATGAGCTAGAATTCCAATCTAGGCCCTCAGACGCCAAGTCCAGCCTGCGATCTTGAGGTCACTTCTTACTCTCCTAACTCCCCCCAGTATGGGCTTAACATGAGCACAGGTTGGAAAAAGGCTCCATCATCCCTGTACTAAAGCCTCCACTGGCCAGCTGGAACCCCAACCGACTGGACTCTCCCTGACCTTCAATTTTTAGAAGAAAGGTGTCTTACAAAGAGGCTTCTTATGCCGGGGAATGAGCCCAAGAAGCCATTCCGGGGTCTGCACGCATTCAGCTCGTTCTCCTTCGGCTCCATCTCCAGGCCTCGACAGCGGCCGTGGACGAACCCTCGGAATACTCACTGATGGTCCTGGAAAATCCTCCCAGACAGATTCTGGTCGTCTGCTAGGAAAGCCTATTCATGCTGTTGCTTTAGAAAGCCTTTCCACAACAAAGGCAGAAAGGCCCTGAAGGGTCTTCCCAGCAAGGACAGAAACACTCTGGTACCCCGCTGCTACTCAAGTATTTCCATCAGCCAACTGTCTCCCGTGCGGCCAGCGACCAGCCCTTCCCACTCCATCGGCCATGACCTGACTATTCCTGCCGGATTCATTCCAGATGACTCAGGCCCGCGCTCGGGCCTGTGAACTCAGTACATTCTGCTTGTTTTCCTCCACCAATAAGCCAGTTTGTTATTGCTCAAACAAATTCCCTCATTGTGTCTCTGAAGTGTTTTGAAAAGCACCGGACGGTTGCTCATTTACGTGCCCTTTTTTTAGACAGATGGGACGTGGCCTGAGAAAAAATCCAAACCATGTGAACGGTTTGGGGGAAAAAATACCACCCCTGCCTCCCTCCTGCTCCAGACACTGCAGACAAGCCCTTTGGTATCACCAGCACCCTGTGATTAATTAGCCAGGGGTCTGCAACAACTCCTCTCCATGGCTAAATATTTTTTCAGCCTATCAGACTGTTAGTGCAAAGCGGGATAAATGACACGGGGCCCAGGGCTCCTGACCTTTAGATTCTGCTGCTCATCCAGGCTCCAGACACACAGCACCTTCTCCGAGGAGCCCGACACCCCCCTGGCCCTTCCTGAGTCAAAGTCAAGGCTCATGACTGGCTCCTCGTGGCAAGCAAGCCGGCTCAGCACGCTCCTCTCAGAGACGTCCCACAGGATGACCGAGCCGTCCTCGTATCCAGCGAGGAGGAGCGGGCCCGAGCTGGAGGCAGGCTGTGGGGAAACGAGACAGTCAGTCACTTGTCCCTCCTCCTGAGAACCACCCGTAAGAGGCAGCTGCCGCGTGACCCATCGGGCCAGGACGCCTGCCCCAGGGGAGAGCCCCGCTGACTCCAGGACCGGGCCACACAGAATATCCCAAAAGGCAGGAGCTGAAGTCAGCACTGTGCCAGATCTGAGACACAGCCAGGAGAGGGTGAGGACCCAGAGAGGACATGCACAGCAGACTCTTAGGAGGCAGTCTCGCCCTGCGCTATCACTCAGTCTGCCAATGAGCGATCTCAGCTAGATGATTCCCACTTCAGTGCAGCTTTCTTCACACGCAACCCTGGGAGGTCCAGTCGCAGAAGGATGACCCCCTTTTACAGATAAAGAAACTGAGGATGGATCAGCCGATCACCAAGCCTTAGGAAGCACCTCCTATGTGCCTGACTCAGCCTACCCAAGGACCAAGCCATCCCTGCCCTCGAGGATCCCAAGGGGACGGTGCGGCCGGTAATTTCCAAGGCCAGAGCCAACCAGAGAGGTCCTCGGACGCTGAGTCGGGGGCTCCTTCTCGACTCCCCACCCCCGATGTTAAGACACCTCGCCTTTGTCCGGCACTTTAGCATTCCTGAGAGTCGCTGTCAACTCTCTGATTTTCTTGCTGATACAAACCCCCCTGACCTGTAACTTCCACATCTGGCGCAGGGCTCCACGCCTCCTCTCCTCCTAGCCACTGGGGTATTTTTCTGCCCATTTATCTCGCTGCTCTGCTTGCTTACCTGTTTAATCTCGCCGGCTGAGAAAAGTCACCAGCTTTACCCTGGTGAAAAATGAAATTTCTGGGCTTTGTCAGACTCCTTGCTGAAATCCCCCTCCCCCTCCCGGAGAAACGGCTTCGTTCCCCACGAGTGAACCGGTTTGGAATCCCGCTGCAGACAATCTCGAGCGATTTTGATTAATGAGGTCACAGGTCAGAGGGCTTGGCACCCTGGGCAGACACCTCATTTATTTAAGCCTCTGAAATAACTCCGCAAGAAGAACGTTACTAGATTACATGTCACCCAGAGGAAAATATTCATCATTCCCCTGGCAAAAAGAGTGATGAACCCGCCCTTGGTAACTGGTCATGGGAGCCGGCTCTGGGACGGCGCTCACTTGTTGTTATGGGCATGAGGAAATCGCGGGGGAGCCAGGCCTGGGGTCTGTGGCCAGCTGATGGACCCCGGCCCAGCAGAGGCCTGCGGATGTAGCTCTCTTTTCCCAGGACAGAGCTGCCCGTCTTGGGCCTGATTTTAAGAAAAGTCTGTCCAGGGTTTTACAGAAGGAGGGATGTTTCATCACGTGGGGTTTCTTCTGAATGCCCAGCGTTCATGGCATGGCTCTGGACTCTATTCCCAACTGACCCCAGCCTGGTCCTAACTTTTGGGGAGTGAAGCGGGAGAAAGGCATGATCTGGCGAGATGTTCCCAGTTCTAGGTCGGCAACGGTTTCGGGGCAGGGGGCAAAGGCATGCCAGCACCCTCCAAAGCTGGATCCTGGACTACTGTTTTCTACTCACCGCTGACCCAGTTAAAAAAGGACTGCTTTGCTTTATATTAGGGCTGGATGCTTGGGCACAGCAAACAGCAGAAGGGAATGATCAAAAGAAAGCAGAAACCTGTCCCCACCCCCAGCCCTGCCCCATTTAAAACAGCATATTGAATCCATAATGCCTCCCTAACATGGGCTAATCCTTCATCATCTGTAACGTACCAAATATGAATGAATACCCAAGTCACTCCCCTCAAACCTGGCTGAGCCTGCGTCCTCACCAGCCCAATGGGGAGAAGTAGACAAGCTCTGGAAAATAGGAGGGTCACTGAAGCGGGGATTACAATCGCTGTCTGGCTGGGAAAGACTGGGAGCACCCTGAAGGCAGGGGCGGCCCCCGCACTGCTGCACGTCTCTGCTGGGCCTTAAACCAGCACTCCCAGGCTACCATCAGACCCTCCACACACAAAGCTCATGGCCCTCCAGTCTGGAGGGGAAGATGTCAGTGAGTCTCACGGCCACTCTGACAGCCACCTGTCTGGCCGGGGCCCAACCTGGCAACCTTTCCTGGGGGCTGGGCCTCGGTTGTGCTAGCCCGGGGTTAGCTCCAGACCCCAGTGAGGCAGCTGGGGAGGCCTTGGGGACATAAGCCTTTCTGCATCTACCCAGGCCAAGGGTGGGCACAACAGGCTTCCGGCCTTCCCTAGGACCTGCCCGAAGCTTGAGTTCGTCTGCCACAACTCGGGAGGAGCCAGGCGCCCCAAGGCCTTCAGCAGAGGACCCACGTCAGGAGTGCTCTATGCCTGCTGAGTTGCCCCATCCGTGTTTGCAGGCTTAGACTGTAAGCGCCCTGAAGGCAGGGAACACGCTTGGTGGCTGGCTTCATACCATGAGTAACCGAAGTAAGAACAGTTGCTGAAATCCACACCATACTTGAACATCATTACAGAGTTGTATCTGCTGGCTCATGTGGAAATCATAACGCAGTGAGGTGGCTAGGACGGGGATGGTCTTCTTCGTTTTGCGCTCAGAGAGATTGGGTGATGCGCGCAAGGTCCAGAATTGTTAAACGGCTGAACCAAGATCGGAACCAGAGCACCAGAGAGCGTGGGCTTGGTAACTAGCGCATTATGGTCCACGAACAAGGGTGGCTGGACCCATGACGCCGTTGGCCAAAGCGTCACTGAGCTTAGCACAGTGCTGGGCACTGTGGGGGGAGATTCAATAAAGAAGACCATCCAATCTTTGCTCCTCAGGATGGGATGACAAAGCCCCTGTAGGAAACCAAGCGGCAGCAATGACAACTGCAAGGCGTGTCACACAGTAGGCTCTTCTTAAAAGGACAAGTGACTTTTATACACAGTCTGAGCAAATACAACAGTAGCTAAGCATCTCTTGGGGAATGGCATTTCTTGCCAACAGCTGGAGGTGTCAGAATGCCTTCAGTGGACATGACTTCCCCTCCTGACCCTACGATCCAGCCAAGCTGGCCTTCTCTATTACATACATACACACCACACACATGCGCACACACACATTCACACACACACACACACACACTCATGTACACACCCACTCTCACATGTGCATACACGCACACACATATGCACGTAACACACCCACATATACTCACACATGCACACACTTTCACACACGGGCACTTACACACACATACACACACTCACACATGCACATGCCCACTCTCACATGTGCGCGCACTTTCATACATGTACTCACACACGCACTCACACTCACACACACACACACACACACACACCCCCTCTCTCTGTCCCCCAAGCCTGGGTGCTCTGCCTCCTCACCTGTCCTTCCCAGAATCCCTCTCTTTCCCTAGATGCCGCAGAGGCACCATCTTCATGCAGCCTTTCGTGACCCTTTCAACTCCCAAACGGAGCAGTGAGCCAAGTGTGTATCTTTATATTGGGGCTTGTTATCTTGCTTAGAATATAAACTCTTTGCAAGCAGTGAGTTTCACCTTGGACTTGGCCCCTCAGTGCCTGGAACAGCACCGGACAAAGAATAGACACTTGGTAAGTGCCTGTTGATCAACGAAGTCTGATCCAACAGAACCATCAGCCAGGCCCTGCCCTCGAGGAGCTCACATTCTAATGGGGGAGGCTCCGGCTGTGGGTCGGAGGGAAAGATCCCATGGTTCTTAGGGAGTAGCACTAAAGCAGAAATTGGACCTCTTCTTGAGAGACGTTTACACTGACGAAATCGCAGCCGTTTCTGACATCGACCCATTGGACGAGGCCGAGGACTTGGGGGATGAGAACGTTCTTTTCTGGGTTTTGAGGAGATGTGGCTGCAGCCCCTCAGGAGCAGGTCCAGGTAGCCTCTCCACTGGGATTGTTTCCCAGGATGACGGCAGAGGTCTGGGCTGGAAGCACAGCTATTCCAAAGGTTCTTGGACTCAGGGTCCTGGGCTGTCTCTATCAGGGTTTAAGGGAAGATGGCAGTCAAGGTGGTGGTAATGGTTTGACTTGGTTTAATGGGATTCCTCAGTCGTCCATGAGTGATGCCTGTGGAAGATCATAAGGCCCACAGCAATGGAGAGGACAAAGGTGGATGTCCTGCAGAAGAGCTGTGGGGACAGCTGTCACGGCAGCATCCTGTGTACCGTCTTCCTCCTCGTAGGAATGGTGGTTGTGCTTTCCTTTACAGCTATGGAACAAAGACTGGACTGGCGCATGGTGGTGTTTCCTCTGGCAGTCAGAAAAAAAGCGAGGACTCCAGAATTATTGTGACTTCATGGATGAGAGTTATCAATGATCCATGCAGTTCTCTGACATTCCTGCAGCAAAGATTCCTAAATCCTTCCTTCAGAGACTTGGACACAGTGGGCCTTTACATATACGTGTAAAAAATATAAATACGTTACAGCTAGTTTCTTTGAAGGAAAACTCTTCAAATCAAGGCCTCCTTTGACGGCATAATCCAGCTCTTTGCTGGCCTACCCAGGCCAGTATCTGTGCCAAATTAGATGTGTCTCAGCACCTCATTTGTCACTTTGCAGCTGGAGTCCTAAGGTACCCTGGTTTTCCTTGCATCTAGCAAACCAGCTTCTTGAAGGAGAAACTCTTCCAGCAGGTGAAGTCACTCACTCCATGAAACAGCTAGGCAGCCTCTGAGGTCCTTCCATTTCTGGCATTCAGATCCTGTGATTTTAGGAATGGCTGCTAATTTCCTTGAATACTGAATCCTACACAGTCTCCTCTCGGTCTTTAGTTTTTCTTTTTCTTTTTTTTTTTATTAATTTATTTTGATTCATCAATAATCACTTCCATATGCTTTTGAGTTTAAAATTTTTCTCCCCCTTCCTCCCCACCACCCTCCCTAAGACAGCGCACAACTGATATAGGCTATACATTTACATTCATATTAAACATATTTTCACATTAGTGATGTTGTAAGTAGAAATTAAAATCTATAGGAGGAACTATCAGAAAGAGGAAACACAACTCAACAGAAGAGAAAAAAAATAGCAATTCAACTTCCACAGTTCTTTCTTTGGGTGTGGATAGCATTTTCCATCACGAGGCCTCTGGAGATGTCTTAGATCCTTGTATTGCCAGGAAGAGTTAAGTTTATTAATATTAGTCATCACACAATGTGGCTGTTATCATGTACAACATTCTCTTGGTTCTGCTCACTTCACTCAGCATCAGACCATACAAGTCTTTCCAGGTTTTTTTAAAGTCGGCCTGTTCATCATGTCTTATAGCACAATAGTATTCCATTACATTCATATACCACAACTTGCTCAGCCATTCCCCAATTGATGGGCATCCTCTCAATTTCCAATTCTTTGCCACCCCAAAAAGAGCTGCTATGAATAATTGTACATGTGGGTCCTTTTCTCGTTTGTGTGAGCTCTTTGGGATATAGCCCTAGAAATGCTATTGCTGGGTCAAAGGGTATGCCCATTTTTATAGCCCTTTGGGCATAGTTCCAAATTGCTCTTCAAAATAGTTGGATCAGTTCACAACTCCACCAACAATGCATTAGTGTTCCAATTTTCCCACATCTTCTCCAACATTTATCATTTTCCTGTTTTGTCACATTGGCCAGTCTGACAGGTGTGAGGTGGTCCCTCAGAGTTGTTGTGATTTGCATTTCTCTAATCAGTAGTGATTGAGAATATTTTTTCATATGACTACAGATGGCTTTAATTTCTTCATCTGAGAACTGTCTGTTCATACCCTTTGTCGGTCTTTAGTTTTTCTAAGTTATTTTTGTAGCTCATACTTTCTGACCAGGTAAGTCTTATTTCTCCACCTTTTTTTCAAAACCTGGAGGTTTAGGTCCACTGAAACTGTAAGTCAACACTATTTTGAGAATGATTCAGTAGTTTTCTTCTCAATCAACTTAATTTTGGTAGCTGAGCTTTATAGAGAAAGACATGATCCCCGTACCTTCTCTAGTGGACCATGCTGAAGAGAGCCTGGTTCTCGAGATGGAAAAGACTTCACGAGATCCACAGCACCACCGTCTGGGGGTCTTAGTAGCAGGTCACTTTTTCAGACGAGGGGACGCTTTTGGGCCAGCTTCTCTCCTCTGGCCCAGTCCTTCTGTCAGCTAAGTCAGCTCCCCTTAACTATGCAGATCCATTTTCCACACAGTTCTGGTTGAATTTTTACCTGCTCATGCAATTTACAACTTTCCCTGGGGGTGAATATGAATGAGAAAACTTCAAGTCATGGAAATGTTGCCCCCGAGGAGGTGAGACTCCCAGCAGCCTGCATCCTGAGCCTACATACACACAGACACACAGACACACACATACACACACACACACATACTCACACTTGTGGGGGACAGAATTTCTTTCTCACCATCACTCAGGGCTGGCTTTGAGACATCGAGATCAATGACACATTCTTTTCAGTCACAAGGCTGCTGATGCCAGGTTTTTAATTCTTGAAGGGAAAGGGCACCCTGAAAGCCACAACCTCCATCAGCCCAGCTTCCTCTACTGGGGCTCCTTTCCAAAGCAGTGACACCAAGAACTGCTTTATTCTCGGTGGGAGTCCTTCAGAGGGAGAAAAAGTGTGACCAAGTCCCATCAGGCACCATTCCTGCCCGTCCACAGTGGCAGTGCTAACGTTCATGGCTCAGGGACCATAGGGATGGCAGAGGGGGAAAGACCCATGAAGAGGCACCTTTGTTCCAGAAGGTGGAATCCCTTCTGGAAAGAGGCAGAGAGTCCTGGAGCACAGTTGGCGGGTCTGCATTTTGCCAAGAGGAGGACATTCTCCATCCACGTGCAAACCCATTCCTTTTCCTTGTTAAGCCCAAGAGGAGCCGATCTGTCTGGTTCCTGATGACAGCCTCCTTCCCACCGGGTCCTCATCTGGATGCCTGCTGACAAACTCCACTAACCCGGGTTAGGAGACGATGATCCCCACCACGGTGATGGAGATGCTCGGGCCTCTGCCTGGCTGCCCCAGGTTTCTGCTGGGGTCCTCTACAGTGGAACAGCAGAAAGGAGCAGGCGAACGATCATCCGTACATTCTTAGTACCGGCGCCCCGTGTGATTTGCTTTGCCACACCAGAACTGGTCAGAGGTGGGAATGAACAGAGATAACAGCATTCTTCGGTCGATTCTTTTCCAGAGGTGAAGTGATGGGAAAATGCAGGAGGATGAGCCAGCCCGGCCAGCGCAGGGTACACAGTTCTTTGGCAGAAGTGGGGCAAAAGGAGGAGCTGGCTGCCCAGATACACCCCCCACAGGGACCGAAGACAAGGGGTCCCGGGTTTTTAATATTCTTAGCACCCTCTTCTACCCCTTAGACTGGGGTGGGGGGAGTAACAATCCCTAACCCAGCTGAGGTGGTCACACTCCTCAATGGACCGTACAGAAAGGCAGCCTGGGCTCTCCTGCCCATGAGCAGGGCAAAGAAAGCCCTTGCTTTGGAGGGTTTCCCCATGGAGGCCATTGTGAAATCTACCCAGGCACAGACACTGGCCCTGGTCCTGACCCTTGGGGACCCACTAACTCAGCTCACGCCCTAGGGTTCTACTGCAAAGGGTAAAGGGGCTGGTGACAGAAAAGGAAGTGCACATACCTAGTGTAGACAGCTTTATCAAGGAATCTGGCTGAAAAAGGGAGGAAAGATACAGGATACAATGGGATGAGGTGACGGTAGTAGAACCGAGTGAGGGTTTTTTAAGAATGGGGGAGGTATGGCCATTTTTGAAGGCAGCAGGAGAAATGAGGGAAATGCTGGAAGATGAGAGAGAGAAAGAGAGGGGGGGGAGGAATGAGGAGGAGGAGAAGAGGAAGAAGGAGAGAAGGAGGAGGGGGAGGGGGAGAAGAAGAAATGACTGAGAAGATGAGGATGGGGCCAAGGGGACAAGTAGAGGGGTTGGCCTTGGCAAGGAGAAGGGTGTCCTATTCACCAGAGACTGCAGGAAAGGAGGCGAGAGTGGGAGAGAATGCCAAAGGATTCTGAGGTAAAGAGGACGGGAGAAGAGAGCTCCTGTTCATTAAGTGGCCTTAACATTCTCAGTAAAGTCAGAGGCTAGGCCTTCAGCCAGGGAAGGGGAAGTGGTGAGGGGTCTGTGGAGGGAAGTCAAGGTCTGGAATGGCTTCTCTGGGGAGTCAAACAGGGAAGGTGCAGGCTGTCTGCGCGAGCTCGGCCGAGGTTGGATAAGAGGAGTCGGCCAACTGCCCAGGCTTCCCCAGCTCAGGAGCAGGGCTGGAGGACGGGGAGGGGAGAGGAATCCAGGGCCAGTTCCGGGCTGGGAGGATGGTCAGAGCAGAGCATTAGGTCTATACGTGAGATACCGGTTGTGGAGTCCTAGGCCTTGGCCTTGCCCTGTTCCCATGAGGTGTTTCTGCCATTCGGCCCAAGGCAATCCCATGACATTTCGGCAGTGGAGATGGAAAGACCTGGGTTGCATGCTGGTACAGCTCTGTGGCTTCAGAAGCAGCTGAACGATCATACTGCAAAGCTGAATGATGGATTCATCAACACGGAGAGAGGTCTCTAGTGAGATGCCACAGGGCTGTTTCTCTCCTTGGCCCCACTTTATACTCTATTAGCACTGAAGACTTGGCTGAAGGCAGACACCAAGACAGCCAATTCTCTGGATCGACGGCAGAGCTGCGATCCAAGCTTTGACAGGCTTGAACGACAGAGGGACACTAATGGGATCACACTTGGGGAGGAGGACCCTAAAGAGAGTGGGGAGACCTGACCAGGAGCTCCACAGGACTCCAGAATGTGATGTGACTGTCGGCGACCTGACTGGCCTGAGCTTCAGCTGCACTGAGGGGAGGAGGACACCGCCCTGCTGACCACGGCCACTGGCAGGACGAGCCCGGGCTCCGGGGGCCACGAGGGAGGAGACACGAGGAAAACGCAGACCAGCGCCTCGTTGGCATCGGCTAAAGACGTTTCACTTGTAAAGGAAGAGACGGGCGGGGACTCGTCTTGAAATGCTGGGGGTGGCTGTGTGGAGGAGAGACTCTGGGAGGACAGAATTCATCTCGAAATAAAGAGGAACTTCAGAAAGAATGGAAGCCATCCCACGCGGCACAGACTAGCTGGCATGGTAGTGGGCACCCTGTAACTGAGGGGGCGTAAGGAGAAGGTGGATGGCCACTTCTTAGTGATGGAGTGAAGGGAGTGCGTGCCTTCGGAGGTTCTGGGCCACCTCTGCCCACCTTTAACAATGTGGGTGTGAGGAGAAGATGTGACGTGAGCTATGGTTGTCAGGATAAGAGAGAAGAGCGCCCTCCTCATCACTGAGCTCAGCAGAGCGTGAGCAGCACTGAGACTGAAGACAGTAAACTAACCAGAAGGCCCAAGCGGATCTGCAGGGAAGACCGATGCGTCAGCCCTGTGCTCCAGGACCAGAGCAAAGCAACAAAAATTCATCCTCAAAAAACCAAGAGGCTGACATTCTCAGCAATCACTCAGCACTTTTCAACTGAAAAGAGGTGTTCACGTCCACGTGCGGATGACCCTTCCTCCCAGCCCACAGTCCATCCTGACTCAAGGCCTAAGGGAGCTAACTAAGGTGGCAGGAGCCCCGGATGGCTGGAGAGCTGGTAACCACCCCACCAAAAGGTGCCCTCTGGAGCCCCAGCCCATTGACTGATGGCTTGGCTTGGGATCCTTTGTTGACGGCCAAAGCAAAGCAAGTCCCCACCCAGCCCGGGTCTACAGAACCTCCCCAGTTGTTTACGATACATCATGTGCCTTCCAATAGAGGGAAGGGGGTGACCCCGGGGATCTGAAGGGGATCTGGCTGAGGCGTTGGGCGCATGTTCTCTGAAGGGGACGACGGCTCGGTGGGCTTGCTAACGAATCAAGGCCCGAACGGAGCCCGGCTCCGCCCAGCCTCGGCCCAGGACTGACTCAGAGGCAAGGGTTTCACAATGAGTGAGTGCGGTTGTGTTTCTTACCTTCCACAGCTCCAGGCACATGGGCATGCCCACTTTGGCACCGGCCTCTGGCTTCAAGGTACAGACTGACGTCTTGGACGGCATGTCCAAAACCTGAACCTGACAGTGAGAAAACAAGCTGATTTGGGCCGGCTCCAAGTCACCGTCTTTGCTGTACAAATAAGACTTTTTCAGGTTATTAGCAAATGTTGGTTCAGGCTCCTTTTTATTCACTGGAAAGGAAGCCTGGAAGTGAGTCTTTTAATTAGGCCTAGCTAGGCTCTCGGGGCCTCGCATAACTCGGGCACTGCTTTGGAAGTGGCCCACAAGTCACTGTCATTGGCCAGGCCTTACGCCTGGGCACTGCACCAGCCTCTGTGAGCACCCAGGCACGTCTCACTCGCTCAGGTCTTCATCAGTTTCTGGACAGGCCAGGACTCTGGCTCTCCCTCCCCAGCGTCCAGCTGACTGCCTTTGGGGCGCTACAACACAGATGGATGGCCTCTTCACCCAGTGATGGGTGGGAAAACGGGGAGGTGCTGGTAAGAAGGGAAGGCTGGTTCAGTGCCATCTGCAAGGCCAGAATCCTCGTCATTCCGCCTACGGCTCGGCTGAGCTGGTACCACATGCCTGGATTAGGACTTTCTGGTTCAAATAATGAGGCTTCTCATCGGTAAGATTAATGGAGTGAACTTTCCTTCCCTCAGTTATGCATTTTTTAATGAAAATAAGTTGTTGTTTTTTAAAAAACAAACCCAGTTAAGTATGTGTGTGTGTGCGTATATGTGTATACATACACACAGTATTCAATTCTGACTGTATGTAGCCGGTTGGTTAACTCGCTAGCTAGCCTGAAGCCCTGGATCTTGGACTTGGAAGGGACCTAATACAACCTGGAACTGGGCCAGCGTCGGTCCCCTCCACACATGCCCCTAAAGTGGCCGGGCAGTCTTGGCTGGAGTCTTGGGGAAGGGGAACCAGAGACTGCCCCTCTGCACTTTCTTCGTGTCCAGCCTAGACTGGCCACCATCTGCCCACTGCTTCTGCTTCTGCCCCGTGGGGTCAAGCAGCCCAAGCCACCTCCCTTTCCTTTCTCTACAACAGCTGGTCAAATACTACGGGAATGCCATCAGACCTCCACCGGGCTTCGCCAACGAATCCTCAAACGGCATCAACTCGAGGTCTTCCACCATTCTGATTACCCTTCCCTAGATGAAGACCTGAGATCAATCTGGCCTCAGAAACTCAGAAACTATCTGGATGACCCTTCACCTCTGTCTGACTCAGTTTCCTCACCTGTAAAATGGAGAAGATGATAATAGCACTTACTTTCTAGGGTGGTTGTGAAGGAAAAAATGAGTTAATATTTGTAAAGTGCTTTGCAAACCCTAAAGCGCCCCATAAATGCTCATTACTTGAGGCTGCCTCTTGATAAACACCAGAAAGAACCATGGAGGCAGAATCAGAGAACTTGGGTTCAACTCCTGCCCATCCTGCCTTCACCTCTCTGGGCCTCAGTCTCTTCCTCTATAAAATGGAAGGGCCAGACTAGCTGATGTCTCAGTCCCTTCCAGCCCTGAGTCTGGACTCTCTCGGTCTTTCTTAAAACGTGGCACTCAAAGAACACAGGACTACAGACGTGGTCTCACATCTTGCTTTGCATCTGTTCATACAAGTCTTCTGAGGTTTATCTGAAACCATTCCTTCTGTCATCTCCTTTGCTACAAGACCTCCATCACATTTATCTACTTCCATTTGGTTGTCCTTTCCCAGCTGAGCGGGACCTTCTTAAGGGTACGAGTTTTTTGTCACCACAACAAGAGGTGCTACAAACCTTCTTGTCCATGTGGGTCCTTTTCCTCTTTCTATCTCTAGGAGTGATATCATTGAGGATGCACAGTGTAGGAGCCTACTGGGCATGGTTCCAATCTGCTTTCCAGAATGGCTGGACCAGTTCACAGATCCACCACCAATGCATAAGTGTACCTGTTTTCCTACAGCCCCTCTAGCATTTGTCACTTTCCTTTTTTGTCAACTTTGCCATCTAATGGGTGTGAAGTAGAAACTCAAAAGTGCATTAACTAGCATTTCTCTAATTATTAGTGATCTGAGGCATTTTCCCTCCAGGGCAAGCTAGGAGGCAAAGTGATTAGAGCACTGGATGTAGAGTCAGGAAGACCTGAGTTCCAATCTGACCTCAGACACTTCCTGGCTATGCAAACAGTCACGGAACCTCTGTTTTTCTGTTTCCTCCTCTGTAAAATGGGGATGATAATAATAGCACCTACCTCTCAGGGTTGTTGTAAGGATTAAATGTGATAATTGTAAAGTGCTTAACACAGTACCTGGTGCATAGTAGGTATTATATAAATGTTAGCTGCTGCTGCTACTACTATTATTGCTTTTACATGGCTATAGAGAGCTTGAATTTCTTCCTTAGAAGATTGCCTGGTCATATTTTTTGACAATTTATCTGTTGGGAAATAGCTCTTTTTCTTATAAATCTGAATTAGTTTTTTCTTAATGTGTCTTAGAAATAAGATCCCTATTAGAGAAACTTGCTGCAAAGATTTTTTTCCCAGTTACCCGTTCCCCTTCCAGTTTTAGCTGCACTGGTTTTATCTGCACAAAACTTTAAAAATTTTAGATAATCAAAATTGTCGATTTTATCTTGTGTGATCTTCTCTATCCCTTGTTTGGTCATGAACTGTTTCCCTATCCATAGATCTGAAACATAATTTCCTCCTTGCTCCTCTAATTTGCTTATGATGAAACCCTTTATATTTAAGTCATGTATCCACTATTTTGGTGTGACCCATGGTTCTTAAAGCATATGCCAGAATATACAGGCTCTGGCAGGTCCTAAGAAACTGGAAAGGCTTCAACTATTGGCTTGGAAATGGTTTGGGTGCCTGTCATGAGGACCAGCCTTGTATGGAGACGCTGTTCACTAGGCTGGCTACAGCAACTCCTAAAGACGTGGAGGGTTGCTACCCGTAGCAATGGAGGGCCTGCCCCCACTGAGGACACCTCAGTTATCTTGAAGAACTAAAGGAATATTAGTACCAACATGACCCTATTGTTTTAAGTCTACGGCTTCCCCTTCCTCCTCAAACCTGGCTGCTATAAAACCCGAGTTTAGGCTATTTTTCAGCGTACCTTTTGTGCATGTGTACACAGACATGAGACACACTGGGATTACACGTCTAACATCCTTTAACGCGCTGGCTCTGGAGGCTGAGTCGGGATATCTACAGGATCACAGAATGTGAGAGTCGGAGAGGGCCCTAGTGACCATCGAGTCCAGCCCATGCGTGAAGACCCCAAAGGGGAGGAAGCCGCCCCCTCCCGAGGCAGCCCCTTGCACTCTGGGACGGCTCCTCCTGTTAGGAGCCTGAATGGGCCTCTTGGCAGCTTCTTCCCACTGCTCCCGGTTCTGCCCTCTGGGGCCAAGCCGAACAAGCCCGGGCTCTACTCTCCAGGACAGCCTCGCATTCCAAACTCTGCCGCTATCACTCTGCAACACGCCCCTCTCCCCTTCTGAGGTTCACACTGCCCAAATCTGTCACCCGATCCAGACCGCTGTGGCAGCCTACGGACCCCATCGTGGAATGTTTTTAAATGCATGAAGTGAAATGCAAGGAATTGCAAAGGAAATCAATTCTATTGAATTGCAGTTATTAAAAAAAAATAGTTCACGACCCTGGGGTTAGGAAGCCCCGCCCATGTATCCTTTACTGCGCCCCCTTGTCTGCCCCCACTCTCATCTTCTCTCTCTACTCTTCAGTCTCTCCCTGTTCATGGTTCCTTCCCTGTCACCTACAAACATGTCCAAGTCTCCCCCAACCTCTCGATAACCCTCACTAGACCCTTCAAGCTACCCTATAGCTCTTTTCCTTTTCACAGCCAAACTCTGAAACGTTGCTGCGACTGCCTTCTCACTCCCTTCTTGAGCCTTTGTGGTCTGGCTTCCAAACCGTCCTCTCTAAATTGATCAACCACCAGTCTTGCCCGAAATGCTAAGTCCAACAGCCTTTCCCCAGTGCTCAGGGCTCCCTGGTCCTCATTCAGCTGTGCTGCCCGGCCTCTCTGTCTGGGTTCTCCTCCTCCCCGTCTTCCCCTTGCCTCCTCGCCTCCTGCATTCCCCTCTCGCCCTTTAATGACAGCAGCGTCCTGACGCTCTGGCCTCTGTTCCCCTCTCCCTTCACACGCCCTCTCTCTCCTCTTACTAACCCCACCGCTTCCCTCGGGTTCCATGATCATCTCTGTGCAGACGATCTATGCTCCCTGCCCAAACCTCTCCCGAGCTCCAGTCACAAATCAGTGACGGCCCATTGGACACTGAACTGCATGTTGTGTAGACACATGTCCAAAACAACCCAAGATGTTTCCCCCCAAATTCTCTCTTCTTCTGAACATCCCAATTTCTGTCCAAGGTACCACCATCTTCACAGTAAGTCAGACCTGTAACCTCTGCCATCCTCAGCTCTTCACCATCACCTGCCACACACCAATCAGTCGTCAAATTGGTTTTTCTTTCCATAACACGTCTCTTACGTTCTCCTTCTCTGTACTCACACAACCGCTGCCTCAGTTCGGGGTCTCATCCCCTCTGGCTTCCTAGTTGACCTTGCCGCCTCAAGTCTCTACCCACTCCAATCCATCCTCCGCATAGCTGCCAAAATGGTCTTCCCAAAGCACAGTTCTACTCAAGGCATCTCCTACTCAGTGAAGTCCAGAGCCTCCCTATCACCTCCCGGATCAAATGTAAACTGCTCTCTGGCATTTAAAGCTCTTCACAGCTTGGCCCTCCATCGCCTTCTCAGACACATGACACATTACCCCCCCTTCACATATTCCATGGTCCAGTCAAACTAGCCTCGGCTCTTCCTCCCACAGGCCACTCCATCTTCTGTCTCTGTGCCTTGGGAGTAGCTGCCAGTCATGCCTGGAATGCTGACCCTTCGCATGTCTACCTCTTGGAACCCCAAGTTTCTTTCAAAACTCAGCTTAAGCATGACCTTCTGAATGACACTTTTCCGGTAGCTCCTCATCCCTCTCTCTGCCACGATGATGTACCAAGGTTTTCTCCCTCCAAAGTACTTTGTATCTGATTTATA